TTATTATTATTATTATTATTATTATTATTATTATTATTATTATTATTATTATTGGTATGGCTGTTCCTGTTGTTGCATTTCCCGCGTCTGCGGAGGAACCTCTTTTGGCTCGCATGTAAAATCCGATTTAAAACTGGCTCCCGTCCGCCTTCTGACCCGCGGAGACGTCCTTCCTGCCGGGAGCCAAGAAGCGAAAGCTGGTTGGCGGTGAAAGCGGCTTTCTCTGTTAAAGAGAAAGGTTGCCAAGGTTGCCTCTTGCTATCCCTAAATTGGTAGTAATGTTGGCACTACACGAGGGATGGCGGCTTGGTGTTCTCGCCCATTTAATTACGTTGAAGGTGGAGATTATCCACTTCGGATGACCCACCACCAGTTCCAGAAAATCAGGCTGTGGTGCCCTGTTTTACCTGTGTTGGTTAGTTGCCATCCCCATAAACTTGTGTTGAGTGGGTTGACGATTGCTTCCAGGGCGGATTATGTAACCGTGGGGTTAAAGGGTTGTCATTAAGTAATGTCATGTTTTGCTTTTTCAAAGTTGCATGTTCTCTATTTTATTAAACTTCAAGTTGGAGTAGGTGAGAACCATAATAAATATTTTAATCAGTGTAAGGTTAAAAATTGAATTATAGTCCTGACATTCATGATCAGCTTCTTAGGCATGAGGTTTGATGTCTCACAGGATCAGAAATAGGTGAAAGGTTGTGTCAAGTTATGCTCTTTAGTTGGCTTATTGCATAGTCTTGTTATGAGAAAAAAAACAAGTGTGTCCTTTGAGCAAAATCTTTTTCTTGCATACTGAATTTAAAATTTAAATGATATGACTGCTGTAAAATTATGAGATATCTACTGTCTGTTGGATACTATACAGAAATGGATGTCATGTATTGCTGAAGCCATTGCCCAGTTTTTGTGTGCCAGTTTCCTGAGGAAGATAGACACTATCTTCCATTGTGTGTGTGAAACTTGGATCTTAGCTCCTATCTTATTTAAACTTTAGTAGTCAGTTTAATGAATCTTACTTGCAGCCCTACTTCCTTCTATTAACACTAAAGTTGAATGAAGCTATTTGTTATCTGGGAAATCATGCTTAATCATGCAATGACAAATGCTTTGTGAGCAACACTGTGCAGGGCTTTAACATGCATGTTATGTGCTGTCAAGTCAGAACTGACAGCAACCCTAATAGGTCTTTCAAGGTAAGTGAGATATTTAAAGAATTGTTTTATCAGTTCCACACCCCCAGTAAGACTCCATGACTGAGCAAGGATTCAAACCAAGGCCTCCTGTGTCCTAGTCCACCACTCTATCCACTACACTTCACTGGGTATTGTCCATAGTCAAGGGTAAGCCTTCCAGGGACCTGCCCAAAAGGGCAAGGTTTGCCCTCCTCTGACATAAAAATTCTGGCTTCTATGCTTTAGTTTAAAGTCTGTTGTATGTGTTTTCTGGTGAAAGTAGAGTGGATGTCTATTCATATACTGTATAAGCTTTATGGAAACTGGGTTCTGTTTTTGTTGAAATAAGGAAATACTTGTCCAGTCGTGGCATGACTAGTTGTAGATTGGCTCTTGTTATTTTACAGCTTCATTCTGTCTGCTGTTTTGAACATAATCTATAGACCTACCTTGTTTCTGCACAAAAGGAGTGCTCCACAGAATAGCGGCAGAACTTTAAAACTTATAGTAAACACATAGATAATACAAGACAGTGGCTTAAATCCTGTCAGGATGGATTAAAATCAATGATTTTTTAAATTAAAAATCTAATTGATTTCAATTGTGATTTAAATCAGTTTGATTTAAGTCAAATTGACCCTGAATCCTATTGCTGCAAGTTATGCTGCAGAAGGTTGATGATATCAGCAACAGCAGATATTTTTTAAATAAACTCCTTTTGAAATTAAACATTTTTTATTTCTCTCCTGAGATTCCAGTGAACCTGTGGGATGGGAGAGGGAGTTTTTCATTACCAAAATTACCACAGTCAGGATGATTTTACTGACACATGATTTTAGGTAATTAAACACTTCTCCTTCCTGTTCTGTGGCCCCCAGCAGCTTCCTGATGATGAAAGTGATTACATTGGGGAAGGGTTTAATTCCAAAAAATTACCACTGCTGATGACATCAGCCATGTGTGGCATAATTTACACAGCAGGACTTCAGCCACTGATCAGACAAAAAATATTTTGTAATTGTTTAAAGTGAGATTAAGGGGTCTCAAAACCTTTGATCTTCTGCCTTCCTAAGCCTGGTCAAACATAACGTAAGGAGTGATGCCACTGAGATTCGGTTTTATTGTGACCCAGATATAAGCAAACCAAATGTGGAAACGGAGTCCAGACTACAAAAAATAAAGTAGAATCCCCCCCTAGATTTTTTAAATAAAAACTTAATTGAGTCATAACAGAAGAATCTGTGAATTCTGTATTATTTGTAGTAAAGAGGCCTCTAGGAGTAATTCATATAACTCAGTACTGTATACTGAAGTGTCTGGCCAGAAGCTGGGGGTTTGAATTCGCACTGTGCCTTCTGGCGGAGGGGGGACCAAGATAATGTGGAGTGTACACAGCTGAAGGAATTCAGTGTCCTACACCCTATGCATCCTTGGGCAAGCTGCAAAGTCCCAGAGTGCCAACAGAAGGAAATACTGGTAAACCACTTTTGAGTACTTTATACCCAGAAATTATGGGTAACTGTGAGTTGGAATTGACAGCACAGCACATAATTAAAAGGAGACTGCAACCAAGTTCAAGAACCACGGGGTTAGATTATGTCTTGGCCACAAGTAACAGCCAGCTGCTGTGCTAGCCAAAATTGACATTTCATCAGTCTCAGATATGAAGGTTTACTTTCAGATATGGTTAAAATATACTTTAGTTATTTTAGAGCTGAAAAGCACTACAACTTTAGGGATTTCTGGCACAAACACATACCCACAAAACTATGAATTACAGATGTAGTACTCATTTATTTTAGACATACAGCATATCCATTAGGGTTGTGATTGGGTGTAGCCTCACACTGAGTACGTATTTGATAGCAAATGATTTGTATATGTAGAGGAAAACATATTTGTAGTTGCCACACTGCTTTTGATTGTGATTAATTTATTTTGTTTGTGGTTCCTGCTCTGGTTTATCTCATAGCTCTGCCATAGTAATCCTACTCTCCCCCCTTTTTGAAATTCTGATGTGCTGTGTGTTGTGATGTCTGCTGCTCCCATGTGGGTGTGTCAGGGGAACCAGCAGGTAAGGCTGCTGCCACAAGAGCTTCCCCACCCCTACATGTTTCAGGTGCTGTGTACAGATGCCCACTGAGGGGCTCGTGATAGTTCATGACAATAGCATGCTCCCCTTCCATCTTACTGTCATGTCATCATAGCCTCAGGGAAGGCATACAGGTTAAACATACTGTAAGACCAATCCATAGAACTGGAGTCTTCTGCCCTGTACTCAAGTTCAGTCAAAGCTTTTTCACCATCAATACCAGAGAGAGAGAACATAGAGTTACACTGCAGCGTAATGAAGGGAAAGCTTTGATGGGGTAACAGCTAGACAAACAAAAAGTATGAATGAAGAACTGCTCAGAAAGTGAGTATACACTCGCACAGAAGTCAACACCCACTAGCAACAGATATGTAGCAGGTCATCACAGTGCAAAACAAACCATATTGAACAGAATACTGAGTTAAAACATGACAGGAAACCGAACACCCCAAAACACAGCAGAGTAGTTCATGACAGTTTTTTCATTTGTTTAGTCATGTGAAAAGAAGTAGTTCACTGTAAAACGTAAGCATATGTAATGTGTTTAGAAGAATCACGCAACACTGAATAAGGCTAAAGCATAATAAATCCCCTGTTTACTTTTCTCTGTGTAAGTTCCCAGTATAGACTGGTAAATTGCCCGTCCAGTTTACCACCCACCTGCTCACCTAGGGCATGTATGTAATAATTGCTCTTAGATGCCCTGCCATCCAGTAGCTCCGAATGCTTGTCAAAACATTGTCACCGATTCCTGTCAGAATTATAGTGGAATACTGACCTAAATGCTGTGCCCCTTGCTTTCTGTCTTTTGCCCTTAAGGGCCCAAAGACCTTTAGACACCGAAAGAGTGACATGCTTTGCATATTTCATTCTGTTGTAAACAGGGTGATGTTCAGAAGCAAGAGAAAATGGCAAGTAGTTTCAAAGTCTAGCTAAGCACAGAAATTGAACAGCAGCTTTTGCTGTAGAAAGCATTTGCATGTTGCATTGTAAAGTGAAAGCACACTGGTTTCAACTGAAGAAAGAACTCCAAAGCTAAGATATTGTCTGTCTTCACTTTAATAATATACTTTTTAAAGTGCTTAATGTGTATTT